ATCCCGGGACTCCAGGATCATGACCTGAGCCGAAGGCAGTCGCTTAACCAACTGAGCCACCCAGGCGCCCCCGTTTTCCATGTTTTAAAGGGAGCATAAGAAGAGCTATTACTTGTCAGGGTTGTTCTTGGAATTAAATAAGGGTGTAGCATTTGGCACATAGTAGGTGTTTGGTGATATTCTGGGTGGAAGGTAAGAGCAGTTTTAGGGATAGATGATTCCCAGACAGACTAATGGGTTAAAATTCCCTGAGGCTGAGACATGGTAGTCACAAATCAGAAATTGTAGAACTGGTGATAAATGAATCGGCCCTAGCTGGCTTGCTCTTCTTTGCTTGCTGGCTGGCTTGTTTCCAACAAGAAGAATGGAATAACTCTTGACACTCCTTCCTTCCTCCACTGCAACACAAGTTACATAGGTGATGATGTAGTCATTGATTGATGGGCATCCCATGAGCCCTCAGTCCAGTGCATTGCACAAAGTAAGTCACTACATGTTTGAGGGTTGAGTGCAGGGAGCTGCCATAACAGTGTAGCCTGTTTATTCTACCAACCCTCTACTATCCTTTGGAGTTTTAAGTCAATACAGTGATTGATACATTCTTAATTCAATGATTATTGAGAACCTATCATTTTGTTACCTGTAATATAAACTTCCCATCCCTTTTGGTGCAAAGCCATGGGAAAAGTTCTGCCTGTTGTCACACTTTCTGAATGTCATTTTTAAATCCTGTCTGCCTTTTTCCAACCCTCCAGACCACCCCTCCCACACACAAATAATTTTCCTCTTCCACAGTCTTGTCTATTTCTTTTTGTATTTCAGGGTGTCAGGAGATGGAACCAAGATCCAGAGTGGTGCCTGTGATTCAAGTCAACTGCTGCCTGCCCCAGAAAGAACCTCGGGCCTCTGGAAGCCTAGATTAAACAGCTTTCTCTGACAGCACTTCCTCCACAATCCTTGATTCCACTACCGCTGGAAACTTGAGAACCATCTCTTACCATCCCCATCCCCAGGTGAGGGGACGAAGGGGAGTTACTGAGAACCTTACAGCTGCCCCCAAGTCCATTTCTACTCATACTTTACCACAAATGTGACCGTGTTTCAATTTTTACTGTGTAAAATAAATCAAATATACCTAGTCCTCTGTCCTAGATAATGCAGGGAGTGGGAAGAGAAGAGCTAAGGAAGTGGAGAGCTAGGATGGGAATGAGAGGCAAGGTCTTGTGTAGGAAGCACATAGCTAAGATTCTAGGGTCAGGCACCTCTTTCTGAAGTGATGGGGGAGTATATTGGAAGTAAACTCTATTGCTAGAGAAAGCATGGTGTGATAGGAGAGTGTAAGACTTGGATTCAAAATCTAGCATCAGCACTTACTGTTTTACCTTAAGTCACTTATCTTCGACCTTAAATTCTTACATGTGTAAGATTAAGAGGTCTCTAAGGTCTCTCTCTCTCTTTTTTTTTTTTTTTAAAGATTTTATTTATTTATTTGACAGAGAGAGACACAGTGAGAGAGGAAACACAAGCAGGGGGAGTGGGAGAGGGAGAAGCAGGCTTCCCGCCGAGCAGGGAGCCCCATGCGGGGCTCGATCCCAGGACGCTGGGATCATGACCCAAGCCGAAGGCAGATGCTTAACGACTGAGCCACCCAGACGCCCCTCTAAGGTCTCTCTTAAGCACTAGGACTATGAAGAGATTCCATGAAGTGCCCTCTGCAGATTCTTTGCTCCCGCCACAACGCTGTTAAATTCATTTATTCTAACAGCTTGTCGCTATTGTAGCCCATTACCGTGTACCACGCACGATTTACATGAAATTAACTTCAACAATTGGGAGTGTTGCTAGTATTATTCCCATTTTATAGATGAGGAAATTGAAGCTTAGAAGAAATTAAGTAATCTACCTAAAATTACACAGTGAATGGGAGATAGATCCAGGATCTACGCTGTTTCCAAAGACTATGCTCTTACCTGTTTCCTACCTGCCGGTAAAGACTATGTAAAAGAAAACCTATGGTTAAAAGGAAATGACTATTTCCTGTCCGTTTTTCTCCCACTCTCATTTCTCAAGAGTTTTCCTGCCCCAGTCCTCAAAGCTGCAAGATAGGCTATTGCTACTTTGGGCTGAAACTTCAGGTTTCGGGATTGCGGGTGTGTGTAACAGTTTAGGTCTTCCGCTCACCCGGAACCACCCACACCGCTGCTGGTGCTGTGTGGGGCGTACCTCTTCTGAGTTCCTGGAGGTGGTCCCAGGCTAGAGTGGCAGCTATAGGAACCAGTAGGCATGGGAGTTGTTGGGCCGGAAGCCAATGAGGAATCCGGTGAAGGAGAAACAACGGTAATTTGTTTAAGGATGTAGGCACGCGTCTGAAGGAAAATGGGGTTTTATCAGAGGTGGCGGCAGCTCCGGCTCCCAGGCTTGCAAACCTGCGGGCTACACACGGTGCGTGAGGTACCCAAAAGTTAGGAACCGCGTCGGACCCAGTCCAGCTGAAGTCTAAGGTGTAGGCTCTCAACCGAGCCTGACACCCCATACCGTAGCTGCCGTGAGTCCCTGGACCCGGCTACCCTAAGCCCCGGCTACCCTAAGCCCTTAGTTGCAGCCATCTTTTTCCTAGGGTCAACAGACTGGGCAGCATAGGACTCCAGCCCAGTATCACCCAGTCCTCTTACAGACTAGGGTTAGGACCAAGATCACTTCAATATTCTCACCTCCCACCAGCCCCAATCCCAGAAAGGAATGATGGGACCCGTGTTTCCTCCTAACCTCTTTCCCTCCAGGCAGCTGTGCCGACCCCTCCACACTGGTTGGCAGAGCGGCTTAGCCTTTTTGAGGAGCTATGGACTGCTCAAGTAAAGAGGTTAGCAAGCATGGCACAGAAGGAACACCGGACTATTAAGATATCACTCCCTGGAGGCCAGAAAGTGGATGCTGTGGCATGGAACACAACCCCTTACCAACTAGCCCAGCAGATCAGGTACCAGACCCATTTTATACCTGCCAGGATTATCCTCCTTCCTCTGTACTTCGCAGGACTTGAGCAGGGAATGAAAATTCTGCTTGCTTCTATTCCATCCCTATCAAGACTGCCTTTTCCTGAGGATTCATTTTTATCTGCATTGGTTTCAGAGTGTCTACCCTTCATTTATTATCCATCAGGAAAAGAAATGATAGGTTTTATTGCTCTGGTGACACCTTTCCCCATTTTCAAGTTTGGAGTTGTTGAGAGATAGTCCCTCTCTTCCCCTGTGGATTGTAACCATGTCTTTTTCTTTATCCTCACCACTCCCCTCGCCAAGTTCAACACTGGCAGATACTGCAGTGGCTGCTCAGGTGAATGGAGAACTTTATGATCTGGAGCGGCCCTTGGAGACAGATTCTGACCTCAGGTTTCTGACATTCAATTCTGCAGAGGGCAAAGCAGTAAGTTTCTTCCTTTTCAGGAATACCGTGGGAACTAAACTAAGGGATATATATGTATATATATTTTTTTAATTTTTAAAAAGAGTTTTATTTATTTGAAAGAG